CTGCTTGTCCTCGTCCTTCAGAGGGGAGCTGATGGCTGCTCTGAGTGGCATCTGTCAGCTGTAAGCTTGCAGCAGCTGCATTTTGGAGGAAAGTGCTCTCAGCCTCTTGTAACTTTCCTTCACCAGCCAGGAGGATTTTGTCCTTTCTGTAATAAGCTCAAAAAAAAGCCTCTAATCTGACCTTTTAAGAGATGTAGATACTGAAGCCCTGAGGGGGAAGGGCATCCCCAAGGACACTCAGCCAGTTTGGGTTGAACTGGGATTGCAACTTCCTAATTGGAATGTGACCTTGGCTCTCTTCATTAATATGATGAAGGCAAAAGTTTTGGTTTGGTGAACTGAGTATTTGCAAACTATGACCCACCCCCTCTGGGCCTTAGTATCAACTTCTCTAAAATGACAGGGTCAGATTAGGTTCTGGGTGAAGTGTTTCACTTTTAAATATCTGAATCTTTGAGAAGGAAAGTAAATAATTTGTAAAATAAGAACTATACTTTGCAACAGAAAAAAGGAAATAACTTTAGCTGGGGAGATGGAGGTGGAGGGAGGGACAGGTGGGAGTAAGAATCTGCAAGGGCAGTAGGGATGGATGGCAGCTCAGCTAGCCCCCCTTTATTCCCAAACCTTTGTCCTTGAGGACTCTGGGCAGGGCACAGCTCTTGAGCCTCAGTGTAAGGAGTTTGGCCTCCTGAGGTGGGAGAGAACCCTGGGGCCTGGAGAGGCAGGCCTGCTTCCTGGAGGGGATAGGGGCTGCCTTGGCAAGTGGGAGCCTCTGAGCAGCAGGGAACAGATGTGACCTGAGGCACAGGGCCCCATCACATTGCTCACACCTGGTGTGGTGGGTGTGCCATGCATCTGCTGACGGGGTTGAGTCCCCTGCTGGATGAGGAGTTGGGACCAGGAAGAGACAGCTCTGTTTTGGAGGTTGTGTGGAGGAAACACTCAGGGGCACAGGAGCCTGAAGCTCCCTTTGCTTTTGGGAACTGGCCCCAAGTCTTCCACCTGCCCTGCTGAGCTGCCCTCATCAGCCTGGCTTTGCCTGTTCAGATTCTGCTTTGCTGGCTGCCTCCCAGGAGTGGCCCTCTGTACCTGTCAGCCTCATGGCTTCCTCAGCCCCCCTCTGGGGCTCTCCTGCTCTCCTGATGATTCACTGATTCACATCCATGTTCTTTTTTTTTTTTTT